TCTAGACTTATTGGGCGTAAAAAATCCAGAATTGGTTTTAACACAAATGTATACTTGAAATATCGACTGAGGTTTCAACCGGCCCTAGATTTCAAGTCCAGGCGAGTCGCGTGTTCAATTCACGTTGACCGTACACTGACCGAACTAAGTAAGACCGAAGAACGGACGATGACCGACATCTCCGTGCTGTGCCAGAGCCATGTTCGCGCACCGCTGCGAATAAACATAGGCTGTCGCGGGCTGGTAGTGGAGGTTCGGCGCCGACGCGATGCCGCTTCCGGCTGGCCGGTCATCGAAGCTGTGGCGAGATGACTTTCCGTTGAAACGGTCCCATCGTCGTCACCATACTGGTTGCTCGTCCCAGGCCTTCAATGCGGCAGGAAAATGTCGGCCAGCCAAGTCATCTCTGCATAGATCTGGTCCGGCGAGTCTAGTAGCGAGTTAAGATGATGCCGTTCATTGATACAGATACACGCGTATGTATGTATGCAGACACGATACAGCAAGGGCCCGGCGCTGCCGAGAAACGTCCATGAACAGCGAGACAGTCAGTACATTCGTACCGGTAGGGGTAATTCCGGCACTGGGTGGCATCTCGCGGACGCAATTACTTACAATAGAGTGGAAAAGCCGACAACGACGTGAGATGACAGCGGAGAAGGGTAATCTGAACCTAAGTTGCCACAAATACGCGCCTGTCACATCCCGAGCAGTCGCTTCAACCATCCCCACCACACGCTTTGCTCTGATCTATCGACGTGAGGACGCTGTTGAGCCGTAGCAGGCTGATAGGGCCCCTCAGCTGGGGTACGAAAACGGCGACTGCAAGCACGCATGCTTTCTAGGTAGGAACAGGGTGTGCGTGGCTCGAGAGGTTGGCCCGGCGCGATAGAGTGGGGGAGATAACCGCCGGGCATCGGCACGCCGACATCTTCGTAAACCCGACGCTTTGACAGGCAACGGGAGCATGAGCGCCAACGCAATACGGAAGGCGGTGAAGGCGGGCCGTTTATGTGGTCGACCCCGTCGTTCAGCGCAAAGACGTGCTGGACTCGCGGGAGTTCAACTAGGCAACCGGACGAGGATGCAAACTCGACGGCGAATACAAAGGTGTCTTTCTCGTTGACAAAGGCGCTCTGCCAACGGCCGGAGTCGTCTTGCTGCCAGACGAAGCTTGGGGGGGGGCATGGTTGCTCATAGCAGCATTGACGTGGGGGGGGTGGGGAGATCATGCGAGTCTCGTGTATCGTGGAGTCAGGATAGAGCACTACATGGAGCTTGTGCTCATAACGGAAGGTGGCGAAGACGAGTGGGGCTTTGGAAAAGAAGTGGGGCTCCTGCCGGATGTGAAGCGCCTCAAAGCTCCAGAAGCCATCCGTTCTCGACCAAATGCACATGTATCCGTCCTCATCAGGTCCGTCGTCCCAAGACCGCCTGAACGGGAATTCCACCATGCGAAGTTTCTCGACGATGACGCCTAGATTTTCTGGATCGCTTTCTTCGTACGTCTTGGGCGCCACGTAGGAGAAGGGAATGTTCATGGTAACATCAATAAGAGAACATCTGTCATAGCGGTGAATGGGTGCTTCCTGTTGAGAAGTGCGGCGCCTACCCTTGTACAAGGTTGTCCATCAAGTTATAGATTGGCAGAAGATCGCTAAAGAATGCAGGGTAAGGGCTGGGAGACATGTCGATTCGATGAGCGTAGTTCGAGGATGGGGAGCTTATAGATGCTTACCGTTCTTATATACGGAGCCTTAAACGTGATCCTTATTGTACTCGACCGCAATGTGAACAAGGGTGCGCCGCATGATCTTCCAAAGGGCCGCTTGGAGCCAAATGAGGCGAAGCTATCTCTGCGCAATTAACCTTGGCTCTGTTGTGTTAGCAAGGACATTCAATCGGAATAGAGCCGATCTACTTGCATGCGGGGGTTGGACTGAGTGCGAAAGGATCCGTAGACGAATAAACCACGATGTCGATCCTATCCACCAGAAGCCTGAGGTATCGGGGGAAGCTCTGCATTCCATGAAAGGGAGGTCCTGAGAAGGGGAATCCATCTTGGGTGCGCCGAAGAGCCTATAGCCAGCAGGAATCGAGGAGTAGGGGTGCCTCGAAGTGCGACAAAAAAACGAAATCCCACTCGGTACCGTGTATGCTGACAACAGTTGACAATAGTCGCCTCCAGTTTCCGCCAGCGGCAAGTACTACGTAAACGTGTATCGAGCACACGCTCCGCGCAGACGAGTGGACGCTTCAACAGATCCGGCAGGGGTGTTCCTTCCTTCAAAAGGAAGAGACGGATCAGGACGGTTCGGGCGGCGATTAACGAGAAGGCGATTCGAAGATACAGAGAGATGGAAGGGTTCCGACGATTCGACTTTGCGCCAGAGAACGTAACACGGTCTCCTGTCATTCTGGAGATTGAATCGAGGCGAAGACGACAAAAGGGTCGGGAGGAGCATCTCGCGAGATGTTCGAAGTCACGTGCGAAAGGTAGGTAGGTAGGTAGGTAGATTGCCGACGAGGATATGCTTCCATCCGCATTTGCTGCTGTGCATCCGCGTCTTCAATTGTCTTCACGCTGTTTGGAACTAAGGCGAGTTCCCCCTCGACGATGCTGCCATGATGTACTTCCACACGCTATTGTGAATGTACGGTGACGGTTCTGTCCTCGCCCGACGTTGTGGGACTGTGTCGCTTTAAGCCCTCGTGATGCTTTTGTCTTTGCCCCGATGGTTGAAATCGGCAGAGGGTGATACTCTGATTCTTCAGATTGCATCCTTGTTCACAGCCGCCGTAATCGTCTTAATCCGTCTCTTCCTTCTGAAGGAAGGGACATCCCTGCTGAATCTGTTGAGGCACCCAGGTGTTTGCACGGAGCCTGTGCTCGATACTCGTGCGTCAAGTTCACGTAATGATTTCCGCTGGCGGAAATTGGAATGGACTACTACTTGGTATTCGTCGCTTTCTTTTTGTGTGCCAGGTTGCTCCGTGCATGCTCGCTGCTGATCGTCAGGCATACAAAAGCAATCACAGTTGGAACAGATACATAGCAACCGGCACAATACGAAACGGTGTTCAGCGTGGCATGTACGTCGCGATTCTGGCATTCATAATATGCATCAACATCGTCACAATACAGGCGTGATATGAGAAAAAATGCCCCCCTCGGGCAAAGACCGCTGGGTTAATGGCTTGGCAAAAATCTAACGACACATAAAAGGCGACAGAGTAGACGCTAAGGTCAAAGAAACCACGTCCGTCTCCTCTTTCCGTGATGTTGGTCTCCAGGGCTTGGCCCCGAGGCCGATATCAATGCGCCAGACGCATCATGACGTCAAACATCCCGACATACGCTCTTGCTTTCTCCCCGGGCGGCGCTTTGCTTGCGCGTGGAGGTAAGTGATAGGCTCTGAAGTTGCTTTGCATGCGCGTCCTCTGAGCCTCCGGTCAGGTGAAGCAGGTCTCGACATTTACGATTCGTTCACCCTAAAAAAGATCACCGGAGTGCCCCACGCGGTTCCACCGGGTGTATACGGCCCAGTAGTGGCGCTAAAATGGGCGTCCATGGAAGGCCAGTTCGATATGTTGTTTGTTGGAACGAAGCATGGCTACGTCTTTGCCTGGCAGAAGAACGATGTGAGTTGCCTCTATTTAAGTAGCAGACGAGCGCCCTTATCATCGACAAAGGACGTGTACGTGGAGTGCCATGTGTTTCGGGTGCCCGAGGGAGGCGAGATCCTCTCCATGGCGATTCATTCCAACGCCAATCGATTTCGACTTGCCGTTGGTACCATCATGAGCGTCCTGGCATGCTACGACATTCTTCCCGATCGCCTTTGGAACGAATGGTACGAAACGCTGGTTGACGTCGAGCCTCGAAGCATTGATTTTGCGACGAGCGGAAAGAATATTGTCGTGTTCTCGACGTTCTCCGGCCAAATGTATGTAATGTCGACTCGTCCTGGAGACCATGCTCTGACTTCGCTAGGCATATATTCTCCAAGAAAGAAAGGACGCTGGACCAAGGTCGAAACCTTGCTAGCCTGATGTGAGTCTTCACGCTTCTGCCGCACGATGAGTCACTAGAAATCGCGATAGCGGCTACGCTACGATGAGCAAGGATGGTAAAGTCTTGATTGACAACACTGCCAATTTTGGCCTCCATGATGGTCAAACTGGCACTCTTCTTGCCATGTTCAGCTCCGGCAATAACATATCAGCGGTCCCTAAGCACGTCTTGTTCGGGGAAGACGAAGAGATCGTGGTGACTGGGAGCGACACTGGAAACGCCTATGTCTTCCGGAAGACGGGCGGAGGACCCGAGCAAGTTTTGATCAACGCGTCGGATGGCTTTACCCAAATCGTTGCGGTGAGCCAATGCTTAACCAGACCGTTAGTGAAGTACGCGTAATACTTATGCTCGTGGACAAGACGTCCAGTACAGCTTCAACAAATTACATTGCATGTGCCACATCCTCATTGACAAATGTTGGGGCAATATCCCTATGGACATGCAAACGCGAAGTGGGAGAAGCTGCAACCTCGCGGGACTCCACCGCCTCTCGAGTCAACATGCCGGAGCGCTTCTGGCAGTTGTTGCAGAGGATCTGGCAGTTCTCCAAAGACAGCAATGCCTGCTTATCCAAACTGACGTCCCATGCCCTCGTCTGGACAATAAACTTTGCGTGGCACGGCCTCCTCTGGATGGCCAAGGTCTGCGTCCTACTCTCACTGCTTCTCAGTGTTGCATACCTCATATGGTCCACGGTGGAGGTAAGCATGCAGTCCAGTATGAATGGTGACGTTGCTTACCGTAGAAGTAGGATGATGTTCCCGGAATGAAGTACGCAAGTGAACCATGGCAGTCGAAAATCCGGCTCGTGTTCACAGTGGGGAAAAAGTGCATTGCGATGTTTATTGCAGAATCCACAGAGTTGTACAGCGAGCAAAAAAGACAGCAGCCGCCACTGCATGATCCGCAGGAACTGACGGTCTCGGATGATATCGCGCGGACGGTTGCGGGCGTCATAGTCCACAGAGGAGCGCGAGAGGTCTCGTATGATATTGCACGGACGATTACGAGTCTCGTAGTGTACAAAGAATCCCAAGAGTAAAGCTATACCCTCATGTTCAGTCATCGCCATCGGAATCGGATGCTCCTTGCGCTACAGGTGCCATGGTTGTCCGGCCAAGCTGGCGCATACTAGATAACGGCGCCTGCAATACGTTCACAAAGTACTAGCTACATACATGAGCGTGTTATCGATGCATCAAGGTGGGCCAGAGGAAGCTATGAGGCGCAGTTGTAAAGAGGGATACACAGGCAATTGCTTGCGCGGCGCCGAGGGCGAGTCGCAGGGACGCCATGCGACAGGGCCATGGCCTCGACGAGTACGGCAGCTTGGAGGTGGGCGCTTATGCGGACCTTGCGGCCGCTTTGGTCCACTGCGCCGGCATCCTCAACAGCAAAGTTGAGTGCGTCTTGGATGAGCGCGCCCGGAGCAATGGTGACGGCGGCAAGGCGATAAGCAAATAAGGGCATGTGGCAGGAAACAAGGCGAACACTTACTCGGACAGGGTGGGCAAAGAGCATGTGTCATGGCATGAGTGACGACTTTGCTGGCGTCCTAGCCGCTTTGCATCATGAGCAGGAGTGCGCGGTTCGCCAAGACGGCCGCATTGCGTTGCCTTCGAAGGCGGAGATAGAAAGGGCCGCAGGCGGCACAAGTAGGGACCGTAGGCAAGGGCGAGGATGTCGAAGCGGGAGACGTCGAAAATGGCGGCGATGGGGCGTAGCTGAACGAGCCCCTCGGCGCCAAGCGACGGCGCGAGTTTGCGAAGACGACGGGCAGGGAGGGCCGTCGCCTCGCTCGCGCTGCCTTTGCTGTCAGTCTTCAGGGGCTACAGCGGGCGGAGGAGGCTGCAGACGACGGAGGAGGCTGCATCAGTATCGGCTTCGACAACAATCGCCCCGGCCTTGCTCCGCACGTAGAGCTTGATCGCGATGCGAATATGGGTCCGACGGTTGAGAATTCATTTGTGGAGCACGGCGTTACCTTCTGCAAGGGCGCATTCAGA